GGCCCAAACACTCCAACCAAACTAACGGTGACGTCACCACACCGTGCTGGAACGCAAACCGTTCCATCAAAGTTTCTGTCTGGAATCCTTCAACTGGAATCAGGTTAGTGGCTTTAATTCTTTGGAAAGTCATCCTATATTGTTCTGCCACTAATCTGAATTTCCTGTGTTTAGATCTGACGAGAATCCGGTCCAAGCACTTCCTGGTTCATTCACCTCTGCACAATAAACTTTGTAAAACTTTGCCTTGGTCCGGTGCTTATTCAGAACTCAAAACTKGGTTCTTATCACTCAGAGGATATAATAACCTTGCTCACCATTTTACAAAACAGTGAAGCTAAACAGAAAGATGTTACATTGAATGTGTGTGAATGTCTGTGTTAAATATTGTAGCWGTGTTCACAACACATTTATGTGTCTATATGTAAACACACCTTTGTCACAAACAGTAACTTAAAGCTGGAATCTGCTGCTCTCATATCTGAACTTGTACTTCTGAGCACAATTACTTACAGTTTTTCTTCGGCACTTGGCAGGGAGGTTCTCTCAGGAATTCTGAGAGCTTGCCACAGTTCTTGTGTGGATTAAGTCTGTGTGTCTTTTGTCTCTTCAAGTTATCCCAGATGGATGGCATAATGTTTGGATCAGGGCTCAGTGGAGGCCGTCCCATCTGTTACTGGTCTCTTTGTTTTACTTCTTGCTGAGTGTGGTTATTTATAACTCTGCTGTACGTTTGCTGTTGTTGTCACTCTGTGTGTGAGCAGGACTAAGAAAATACCAATAAAAAAATATTAGTGCTGCATAATGAAGCAAATTGGAAATRTCCCAACAGGGTTTCTGCCAGGTATTAAAAAGTTTAAAATTCATTAAATCATTGTGTTCAAGTCCTAAACAATTTTAAATAGGTCATAATGCCCATGTAAYGCTACCTCAAATGCTAAAGAAATGTTCCCTGAGCACTTATTTATTGATTGAAGCAGCTTTCGTGTTATTGGTGGGTCCACCTCACTGGATGCAGAAATAGGAGAGGAAGAAAGAGAAGACRAGCTGTCATTAACATGGGAAAATGCAAATTTAACAACACATGGCTTCAATAGATAAGTTTAAGGCATCCATTCACCATCTTATACCCACTTCTTCCTTTCAGGGTCACTGGTGCCCATATTTAGCAGTCGCTGTGCAAGGGGTGGGGTTTACCCTGGACAACTCTCCAGTCCATTACAGGGACACATAGGGACAAACAAACCCACACCTAGGGACAATTTAGAGTTACCAATTAGCCTTGGGAGGAAGCTGGAGTACCCAGAGAAAACCCACACATGCACAGAGAGAACAAGGCAACTCTATCAAGAAAGGTCCCTGGCTAGGATTTGATTCAGAGACCTTGTTGGGAGGCAATATATCTACCAAATGAGCCATCATGCCACCTGAGTTGAAGGCATTTCTTTTGTAGATTTCTGTATGTCGTGATATAGGTCTTAAATTTCATTCTTAATAGTCTTAAAAAGTCTTAAATTTGCATTGGTGAATCTTGCAGAAACTCTGCCAGAATATCCAGGTTTATTAAAACATTTAATAGGGTGGTCCCATTTTGAGTTTTAATACTTAAGAAAATATTCTACTATGATTTGCCTTTTATAGTGTAAATCAAAGCAGAGATTCAAACTRGTTCAAAGAATTAATGCAGGGAGTATAAAATGTGTTGAAAAGGCAACAAGCTGTAATTATTTGATGCCAATTGCTTTATTTTCCCCCATTTTGTTAGGAAGATCAAGTAAAATACAAGACTTCTCGTCTTTGTAGTGTCTCTTTTAAAATTTAGTCTGRATGTGAAAGAAACATGCATGTAATGAGAAACTTCCTGTAGGAAAGTGAAGGAGAAAAAATAATATGTGTTCAGAGCAACCTTAGCTTGAGGAGATACCAGRACAAATGACTCAGAATGAGAGGCTCTTGTCCTGTTTTTATTTTATTGTTGAGGAACAAAAAGCAAGACTAGAAGACAAACATGCAAATGTTATTCAGGTGTATTTGTCTCACATTCCCATCTTGCCTATTCACCGCTCTCCTTTGCGAGCGACATGTTCATTATCTGTTATCTGATGGAGTATTATGAGGACACCAGYGGCTCACCTGCCTCCTTTCCAGAGCTTTCTGGGTTGTTTTAATCCTGATCCCAGGGGGAAGTGAACAAATGGATGTGAACTTTGCATCTCTGTATCATTAGATTACAGTGATGATCGACATTACTGTGAGTCGACAAAATTCAATTTTGTGRGACACTGTGACTTTGGATTCGCTACCTTTACTTGTGAAAAATAAAACTGGTCTAAATAAATCCTGCTGTGCTCTGAGCAATGAGTCACTCTGCCAGCACTTTCTTTAGAAATCTAAATCACAAGTTACCTTTGTTCAGTCGTTAAGTGCAGTGAAAACCTGCATCTTTGATTATAAAGCCATTTTCACCCAACACAAAAAGCCTTGTCAAGTCTTCATGAGGTTTCATTACAACATATCTGCATGACAAATGTTACACACAAAGGTGAAACCAGTTTAAAATATAAAAATGTAAATTCTTGATCTTTTCAAACTATCAGCTTCATACTGCAAATTWAATTGTACATTTGTACCTATTAACTTAAGGAAATGTCCAGTTGTTTTGTCAAATTAAAAAGAGGCCACCACTTTAGACTTACTGGTTTCTTATAACATGTCATTTTACAATTAAAAAGAGGAGAATTTCAMGCTGGCACACAAATAGGATTGTGTTATACAGTATATAACAGAGGTTGATGGGAGCAATAAAAAAATTTAACATACTGTAGGAAAAATATGCTTTGTTCAAAATGGTATGTCCGAATAAACAGGAATCCACTTGGATTTCTTCTTAAAACTTTTTTTTTCAATCTTTTGACTCCAGTCAGGTACAGCACTCAGCAGGCCTCAGTGTAAGACCTTGGGCTGAAACAAAGCAAAACAGCTGCCCTGCTCTTAGAGACTCTGCAGCACACTGACAACTTCTTTTTACTATAATAATGAAGTGAGCTTATGATGTTCATGACTTCCTGGTTACACCCCTGGAGGTGTTACRTTTTACGTCAGATATCAGAACGTAACACATTCTTGTTTAGGCTAAAGAAAGAACACATTATAAGACACACCAACTCTTATTCTGTTTAAACTTAAAGGCTGCAATAATCAGAATGTATAAAATACAATACTGCCTCTAATATTCAATTAATCAGTTACAACATTTCCTTCAATACGGTCAGAGAACAGACGTAAAATAGCAGCTCAAATGTTTCCTGTTTAAAATTCTTCACATTCATTCATTTACCTTGTTCTAAAAAATGGTGTGGCCTGCTACATTAAGCTAAAATAAAATCATTATTAATAATAATAAAAGATTAAATCATTGGGAAACCAAAGAAATTCCAACCAAAAAAAGCTTCTCTTTGATAAAAACTCAAACAGAAGTCAATCCATTTACATTATCATGTAACATCAGGTCAGGACAGGATGAGGCAGCAATGCCTTAATTATTCATTTATTAGTCTTTTACCTTTCATTGTTACCTTTCTTTAGCTCTGARTAGCGTATCCCTTTTTTTATTCAGAAAATTTTTGTGAACTGTGTCAAGATTATGAGGTGCTTTACTAATTTTATGCYGAGGATACTTTGGTGTACACGCCATGAAAAATAACATCTAATATAACCCCAATACAACCTCCTTTTTTCAACAGCTGACTTCTGAAATGGACTCTATTAAGTCTCCCCAGACTACTGGGATGAACTATGATCAGTAATCTGTGCTCCCACTATTATTCCCAGTTGGTGCAAAGTGCTGTGGCTACACTTCTTAGTGATAGAAACAGGCCCAAATCCTGCCCCCGGGCACCACTTTCCTYATAACCAACTCACATTTCTTACACACAGTCCGTGTGCCTTCTCCTCCAGTACACACAAACACAAACACACGTTTGTTCTTATATCCCCATGGGGACTTCATATTGACTTCTCTTCATTTACCAGTCATTTCTGTAGCCTCACGCTGACCCCAAACACTAAGTCTAACTTCACAGGTAGATACCTCACCCTAAACCTAACATAAACTCAGTTTATACATTAGTTCTAAACCAGACCCCTGACCCACCAAGGATATTTCCCCCAATGGGGACTGGGCTTTTGTCCCATAAGGAACAGTGGGTTTCCTCACCATGCTGTGTGTTTTAGGACAAAGTTCCAAAGTTGCCTCCACCAGATAGCAAAAACATGTATGTGTACACAGATGGACATACAGGAACCATGTCCCTACTGGACAATAGTTAATTGATTTTATGTGATCTTACAGTACTGATTTCACTGCAGTGTGTGCACATGCCAATATTTATATGTCTTCAACATTACTTTCTATTTTAATTATTAAAAATTTTAAATATTTTTATTTTATTGATTTGAAGCATCTTCCTCCAATTTTTGTACTGCTTACCTGGTTTTGGTATTGATCTAAAAATTCCACTGCTTATTTTACTTGGTCATCCTCCATGAAGCCAGTATCAAACTGCAACCTTTGRAATTCATGATTGTAATTAGAACTTAGGCATTTTTTTAGTTGCAGTTTCTGAAGTTCTGAAGTTGCCCTGAATCTGAAGTAAATTCAACTATTGTGACAGAAAATTTGTCACACTTGGCAAAAATATTAACTCAGAGTYACAGTATGTTCTATTGGGAAATCAGGCTTTTTCTCTTTCAGCTTTGAYTACGAAAGTTTCTGAATACTAAAAYTGGGTGTACAGAGAACATGATTTACAAAAAGGCTGTGTGTTATTTTGCAGTTGTAAAACAGAAACAACCAGAGATATTGCATATATCTAATGCAAAACATGAAAAATGGTTCAATCTACCAACCAAATGRCAAAACCCCAGTGGTTTGCCCTCATTTAAATGAGATTTTATGCATGCAGACAAAAATAAACAAGTAAAAAAAAATAAATGACTAAATCCAACCGATTCGTTAAAGACAAGTTTGCAACAATAAGTTAGTGTGAAACAGTTTCTGCTGCTGATACTGTACATTACAAAGAAAAAGTGCACCCCTTAAAAATGGGACTATGTAAAAATGAAAAAGATACAATGAAGGTTTAAAAAGGTTTTCTATGTTCTGTCTATGYAGCAAGACCTTTCAAAAAATGACTGCAGTTTGCAGCATTGTGAAAATAATAACATAGCTACAGCCCATACTGTGTGTGTGTGTGTGTGTGTGTGTGTGTGTGTGTGTGTGTGTGTGTGTGTGTGTGTGTGTGTGTGTGTGTGTGTGTGT